TAGTGGTGGGATGGCAGGGTTAGGTTAAAGGTTGGACTCGATGATCTCAAAGGTCTCTTCCAACCAAAGTGATTCTATGATTCTATTGCTGATGGGGGAGGGGGGCCCAAAAAGGAGTCCCTCTGAAGCTGGTCTGAGTTGGGGGTGCTTGGGGAAGGCAGGGATACGGGGCCTGTTTTCCTGCCTCTGCCCCATGCCAACCCTCACTGGAATTTCTGCAGCCCCTGACAGGTGGTGGTGCTATTTCCCTCTGGAGTACCTGGCATTAACTCCCGTGACCCTCAGGAGCGTCGTCTGCTTAGCAGAAAGCAGATCAAAGTCTGAGTGAGGGTGTGGGTAACCTCTCTCAGCACTGACCAAAAGTTCTCTTACACTGATGCCTGCTCCTGGCCATTTGGAGCCCAGACTCGTGTGAAGCGCTTCAGAATATCCACGTTCTGTAATAAAGAATTTGCGACTTGCCAAATTCTACACAGTGATGGATGGGTGCACTGGAAAGTGAAGGCAAGGGGACAGTTGCTGTAACACAATGCAGGTGTGGAAACGCTGGGTTTTCAGAGTGGCTGGTGGACGTTTTGCTTTTATTTTCTCGTGAATACCCTGTTAGAAAGTTTGTAGGTGGAATCCGAAATTGGCTCAGTCTGCTTCTGCCTACTATAACAGGAAATGTTGTTCTTGTAAACACTGCTTTTAAGTTTAACAGTTCCCTGGTTTCTAAGTGTTTAAATTCTCCCTTGCTTGCTTCCATAGCTGACTTTGATGAATCTAAGTCCCCCAGCATAGAACAGCTGGATACGCTGAAAGAGTTTGCTGGAATCGCTGCTGGAGCCTCAGCTCCCGAGAGCCTTGCTACTCTTGCCTTTCTGTATATGTGCCTGGCTGTTTCGGCTAAGTATGGGTAAGGCTATCTTCCTGCCCTAAAATAAACATGCTGTCTTGAGTGTTGTTCACCACTAATCGCTTCTCCAGGGTCACAGGAGGAAACCAAATCTCTGAGGCAAAATAAGAAAGTATGAGGAATCTTACTTTGTTTAGGTTCTGAGCACCTCAGGAGACACTCTTCAGAGCTGAGCTGTTTGGTGGGTGGGGTGCCCAAAGCCAGTGGGCTGGGAATCCTCTGCTTTCATTTAGGCATCTGGCTTTGTGGTGCGTAAGTCAGAGCAGTTCATCGCACCCTTCCTGCACAGCCAAGAATAGCAGAGACAGACATCCCTCCCTCCAGCAGGCAGCTCCTCTCATTCTGGCTTAAGGTTAGAACAACTGCTGCAGAAATGAGCTGTGAATTCGTTGCCTGCGCTAAGTCTGATCCCTCTTGTGGGCTGAATCTCCCTAAAAATATGAGAACTTGGGTTAACTGCAGCTCAGGGCTATTCCAGTTTCTGAACTTGACCAACACCGTTGATGATATCAGGGTAAGTTACTGAACAGGCTCTCAGGGCAATGTCTGCTGCAGCGCTGCCTGCTATTTTAAACCAAGTCAGAACCTGACTTCACTATTCATAGCAAAGGAATCAAAGGTTAAAGAATTACGATGTGTAGCTGCATCGTGTTGTGCTGTGCAGTCTCTGCACTGGGGCTGTCATCAGCCTGCTCTGAAACCGTCAATTCATAGTTCATGTCACTCACCAGCCAGTGGAAAGCTCCCAGGTTTAATGTTAGGGTCTGTAACATAACCCGGATGCATTCAATGGAGAAAAGGGGCATCTGGGCACGGATATGTGCATTTCACCTTCCCCATCAGCTTGTTGCTCCAGTGGGATGCAACTATGCGGTTATGGATGTGGGATGTTTAGGCTTTATTTAAAAATAGGTTTAAAATCATGTTTACAACAATCTGTGAAGGGTCTCTTTATGGTGCAACTCAAGTATTTAGTTACTAAGTGCCCCTGCTAGCAGCTTGACAAGCTGTGCTAATCATAGATCCAATTCAGCAAGGCTTTGTTCTAGTACAATGGCTTAGCAAGGCTACTCAGCTGTGCTAACTGAGCACTCGTGAAGCCCATGCCTGTCGGATACGTATGCATATGCTGATGTTGCCAGTTTTCAGCCAGCTTTTCCTGTGATCAGTCCTAATTGGCATCTTTTGCCTTTGAATGGTGGAATTTAAGGTCGTTGTGTTACATCCTGTGTGTGTTTGTTTCAGAGATGTTCCGAGTGTGGACGTACTGGTGTGGTCTGAGCTGCCCACGGGAGCTGGGCTGGGTTCAAGTGCTGCCTATACTGTTTGCTTGGCGGCAGCCCTGCTGACAGCGTGCGGAGCCATCTCGTGCCCTCTGAAGGAGGGAGAGTCCACAGCCAGGTAATGCATCGGGGAAGCTTCCCTGCTTTGGATGTGCGGCCCCAGGGCAGCTCTGTTCTCTCTCCCTCTCTTACCTGCACGAGTTCTGGCACTGGCACCTCTCTTGGTCTCTCAGGCCAGCTCCTAGGCTATGGCTGTGGCTGCAGCAGCAGCACCCTGAGCCCAACTCCTCTCCTGTTGCTGTTCCCAGCAGCAGACGTGCCCTGTCCCAGGGCTCTGTCCTGTGAATCACATGTTTACGACTTGCTTCTCATGATAAAAGCAACTGGTTCCAGAGACTCAGTAAAACTTGCACCATTTCCCTTGTCTAGTGTAAGATACTCATACAAAAAAAAAAAAAAGCTTTATTTTGCCAAGCAAATAAAACACACACTTTAATGTGGTGAATTTTTTAACCTCTATTTCCTCTCTGTCCTTGAGCGTCTTCCAGCTTTTGCTTTGAGTCCTCAAGGAGTTGAGGATCCTTTTTGGTTTTCCTGCATTTTCACATGATGATTTTTTTTTTTTTTCTGCCTGTGGTACATTTCCTTCTGATCCCCTGCCCGAATTTCCCCTTTATCAGTGGCTGGTGAAAGAGAGGGGTGTTTTTCCTTCTGCCCTTGGGTTGCTTTCCCTTGGAGTTCAGTCTTGAAAAACTGGTCTGCTCTGCTGTGTGCCGGAGGAGGCTCTGTGTAAAGATGCATATCGCAGCTGGAGCATCAGAACCCTCTATTGTTCCTTCGGTGCCAGGTGCAAACCTTTTATGGTTGGCTTCTGTGGATTTTGTGTGGGACTGAAAGCGAGACAGAAGAGGGGGTGACTGTGTTCTGCTTCAAAAACAGAGTTTGTAGCCTGACCCAGAAACGTGTTCCTAGAGCGGAGCGGTTTGTACGCCCTGCTCAGGCAAATCTCCCAAATAGTCACACGGCATGAGAAATGAAAGGCCAGTTCCAAGCCAGGCAGCGAGCAGCGAGGATGTCTTCATTCCCTGCTTGCACGTCTTAGCTTCAGCTTGAATACAGCATGATTTATTTTTTTTTCTTCCAGCTGGCATGCAGAGGGGTAAGTGAGAGATGGGGGTGTCAGACTTCAGAAGGTTTTTGCTTAACGTCGCAAGAAAAGAACAGCGTGATATGATGACTCCTGTGTAGAGAAGAATCACAGCCTCTCAAAGAGGATTAAAAACAAGTGGTTTACAGCAAACTGCGCTTCTATTTTGAGTAGCGGTGGTGTGAGCTGTTTTCCTGAATGCTTCACAGATTAAATATTGGCAAGTGAAATGAAAGGTGTGTGGAGATGGATAAAGACATTCAGCTGAGGCGCAGGGAAGCGGGGCGTTAAAGGAAGCAGCTTCCAGATAGCAGGTGGCGCTCAGAATTTCTGCCTTGCCTTAGCAGCGGCCAGTGACCTTTCTCGTTATTTCATGTAAGGCTGTGTGATGCTTTTCTGGGCCCCATAGTCTAAAAACCTGTTGAATGCACGTTCTCACTGCACCAAACACCTGCTCTGATCTCTGCAGAACATCACTGATGCTGGGATATCTGATCCCGCTGTGCATTAGGCCGTTTGAACGGTGGCTTGGGATGTGTGCTGTGCATCTGGACTGCAGAGTGGGCAGCGCTGTGCTCCAGGGGAGGGTCAGAGATGCGTATGGGTGTGCCTGTGTGAGTCCTACAGCAGGGCTAGCTGGCTCCCCGTGGGTGCTCAGCTTCCCTTGGGTTGCCAGGGTTTGAGATAATCCCTCAGCATGGAGCGAGTGAGTGGGTTTGAAATAGGCCGGTGAGTTCTGAAGGTGGTTGTGTGGGTGCGTGCCTTGCAGAAGCAGGCCCAGAGCAGGGGGGTTTTGAGAGGTGCTGGGGGAGAAATCACTGTAGTGGAATTGCAGTGAGGTTGCAGCCAGCAATTGCTTTATAACTGGCAGCTCTGTGTTTGCTTTTTGTATTGCTACAGCCCGTTAATTAGTATGTTCAGTCAGGGGCCTTGATCCTTGCTGAGCCTGACCCAGCACCAAACTCTTTGTGCCAGTATTTAAACTCTCAAAGCACTTACCAATTTATGTGACTGCTTTTAAGACAACAGAAAGACCTGGTTTTGTGTTTTTTAGCATAACACCTCCTGGATCTGCATTTGGTTCCCTTCTGTGCTCTAAGTGCCAGCACCCGGTGCAGCTCAAAGTGTTAGGAGTTAATCCCTAAAAATCAAAGTCTTTGCTGGAGAATAGTAAATCAGTTCTAACTACACCTTTTGACCCAATTTGTGAGTCTTCTGCAGCTGAGCAGCTGGCAATTAGAGGCTGAAGTTGCATGTGTGAAATGCAACTTTTACTATTCTCTTCTCACGTCGTGCCTTCTGTGTCTATAAATACACCGTCCTGCCTGTTGGTGAGCAGGATCTCGGGCCAAGACGTGTGGCAACACGCAGTGTCGAGGAGGTGGGGGTAGGTCTGGACTTGCATTCAGTTAAATTTGATCTTCACTAGGCCAGGACTGGGATCTGCTCCCTCCCTCGCCCCACTGGCCTGCGGCGGGAGCGGTTGTGCCCTTCGTGCTGTCTCGGTGGAGCAGCACCAGTTCCCCTCCCGGGATGGGAGGTGTTCTATGTTGCTGCCATGCAGAAAAGCGCCGAGCACCAGTTAGGTGCTGCAAGCAGCGATGCCTGCTCTCTGCTGAAAGAATACGGTGCAGAGAGGGAATCTGCGGTGCTGGGGGCTTCCCACAGCAGCTGGGTGCCTTGTGTGGTTCCCGCTGCTTTTGTACCTCCTGCAGCCTCTGGTGCTTCTGTCTGTCACCCTGCATGTGCTGGTTTTGGTTGTGTGTTGGAGTCATTTTCTTGCCTTTCAGGTGGACAGAAGAAGAGCTGACTTTGATTAACAGCTGGGCCTTCCAGGGGGAGCGAGTGATCCATGGCAATCCCTCGGGTGTGGATAATGCTGTTGGTACCTGGGGTACGTGTGTGTTTGCTGCTCCCTGGCACTGAATGTGGGTGCTGAGGAGGGGCTGATGGCGTGGTAGAGCAGCAGACACGTCTCCATTCTCCCCTGCAGAGCGTGCATCAGCTGTGGGAAGGTGGTGAGGAGATGCCACAAGTTGCATTTCTCCAACCTGCGGAGACACTGGATCAGCAGGTTGCCTCGCTGCACTGAGGTGCAACAAAGGGGCCAGAAACTCCCAAATTCAGGTCCCTGTTTTGACCCCAGTAGGGGGAATCCTTCCCTGTCTTGCTTTGCCCCATCTGTAAGCTGGGACTGGAGCCAGCTGGGCTGTTGGGGACCAGCTGCAGTAACACCAGAGATCTGTGTCCCCCAGGCGAGTGCTGTGGGGCAGAGACCCTGCTGCAAATAACTGAAATTTAAACATCCTGGCGTGAACAAAGAAACCTAATCCTGTCCCACGGATAATGCAGTAGAAAATGCAGTTGGACAGCTGTCATTTAGTTTCAATTAGCAGAGACTTCCAAGTGTTTTGGAAGTGTCCTTGGAGACTTTTAATAATCTTTCTAATGAGACCTAATCGCAATGCCTCTGTTAAAGTAGGAGCCGAGTGAGACATTCCTTCTGGACAATGAAATTCTGTGCTGAAGGACGGCTGCTGACATGAGTGCACACGTTCAGTCCAGTTTGAAACCTGCGTGCTTGGCTCTGCCCCAGGGAATCGCTGCTTGATTCCTCTTTTCAGTAAAGATTTAATGCTGGCCAAACTCTTTGCCTTTTAAAAAATATTTAATGTGATCCTGCAGTAGAGGAGAGCAAAGGGAAAGGCAGTGGGTTAATTACGTCCGGCCAGACCCTCTCATTAAGTCAGCAGGGTTAGGCAGATTCATGCTGTCTGAGAACATGGTTCATTTAGCTGGTGTTTCTTGCAATTACTGTCATATGCTCTGGGTGAGGTTCTAAAGATGAAAGACCTTCTGTCTCTTACGACACTGTGTTATCTCTCAGCTCGCTGTGTACTGAGACAATGCATGTATTTTACTTTAGGTGGAGCCCTGAGATACCAATCAGGAAAAATCACACCATTAAAGAGGTAATATTCGAGTTTAAAAATAACACTTACGTACGGTGGGTGGAATATGTCAAAGAGGCATTGGGTGGATCTCGTAGGGTATGAGATTGATGGGAGCTCGCTAACAGCGTGGCGGAAGGGCTTTGTAGCCAGATTTTGCTGTGGGTATGGGTAGCCTGAGTGTTGTCTTGGCTTGGGGTGGATGGGAACAATGAAATGTTTGGTCATTATCTGACATTAGATGAACACAGCACAAAGGATCAATATTAATTTCATGGCATTATGGGCAGCAGGAACGGATCTGCTCCTGGCAGCAAATGACGTTGCGGGGAGGGGGAACTTTTTGCTTACCTGGTGGTAGGACTGTGTGAAAACCAAGCTGCGGAGACAAATCCAGGTCCTGCGTGTTCCCTCTGCCTCCTGCCAATGAAGTATAATCTGACTCCATTAAAATCTTTCACAGTGCATGAAATTGCTCTATTAGCAGTTAATGGCTACTGCTGGCTAGTCTCGCAGATAGTATTTCAAAGGAAAAATTTTGCTTGAAAAACATGGATTTCAGTAAATACGTTACAGTCCTATTTATAGCACTAGTACCGTTGTTCCTTGTATCTAAGAGGAACAAGCCTGAACCCAGCCAACACTTAAGCACCTGCTTAATTTTTTTTTTTTTTAAACTAATGGGACTCCTTATCCTGGGTGTCTTGCTCAAATAGGCCTTCTGAGGCTGAAGGAACTGTAGCTGGCTGGGCCTTGGGAGCTGCTGGGGGACTGTGAAGGAGAGAGGCAAGGAGGTGTCTCTTGTTGCTTCCAGGGTGCCGACGCTGAGGATTTTGCTGACCAACACGCAAGTCCCTCGAAGCACCAAGGTCCTGGTGGCTGGTGTCAAAGAGAAGATCCTGAAGGTGCAGCACCTCCGTGGTCGTGGGGATGGAAATGCATGCTGGGGTAGGGTGGGCAGCTAACCCTCCTGGGCTCAGATCTCCTCATGTGGGGCTGCAGATCTCATGAGGATCTCTTGGGAGATCCCTCCTGTGGTCCCTGCATTCCTACCTGCTGCTAGCTACCACCCAGCTGCCCTGGGAATGGGGGTTCAGCTCGCCTCCTGCCTCTCTCCAGCACTAACGGGCCTTGCCACAAAAATCACCAGTTCCTCCCTCTGGCCTGTTTCCCTCTTTGCCTCCAGTTTCTGCAGGTGGGAGCAACTTAGGGTTGCCCTGCTCTGCAGGGGGGGTTCTGTGAATGAGTAGCCCCAAGTGGGGTGAGGAATTGTCCATCTCTGAGAGACTGGGGCTGGTTTTATCACTGTGGTATTAGAAGACTAGAGAGCAGTCTTCTCACATCTTGCCTCCCCCCCCTTCTCAGTTCCCTGCTATAATGAACCCGGTGCTGGACTCCATCGATGCAATTTCTCAGGAGTGCCAAAGTGTTCTGGAAGCGATGCCTGCAAATCCATCACCAGAGTATTACCCTGTGCTGGAGGTAAGGGGCTTGTTCGCCAGTATTTTTAGACACTGTTACTGTTGAACATCAAAATGTCATTTAAAGAACATTAGGTCTGAGAAAAAATTTGATAGCAGGAAATGTTCAGTTCCGAGTGAAACCATGGTCTGTGTGTGCTGCTTTTAATGCCATTCCTGGAGCCAAGAGACAGAAAATGCTGCTGGTGTCTCTCCACAGCGGTGCACAGGCAGGGAGGGAGTGGGCCTGGTGCTTTTTGGACCTGTAGCTCTGGAGGTTTTTTTTTTTCCCTTTGATAAGAAATGTAGAGTGAGTTCAGGCTGAGACGCTGCCTCCCTGCGCCGCGGGCCAGCCACGCTCGTTCTGGCAGTCGCTGCCTGTGAAGCAACTGCTTTGTCATTGCCAAGGCTGGAGTGAAGAGCCGAGAGCCCAGCAGCCACTGGTTTGTGATGGACTGGTTACGAGCCAGCTCCCATTGCTCTGCGCTCATCCTGGCTCCAGACAATAACAAACAGAGTTGTGCCCAGAGCTGACCTGACATTGATGCATGAGGTGCATGCAAAGATCTGTGTTTGTCTTGGCTTTGTTCAAAGTAGGAGAGGCTGCTGCGGTGGGGGAAAACACGCTTCTGAGTGGAAGGTTTTTGCAGTGCCGAGAGCCCTGTAACACAGATTCATACAACCGTGGGGTAAGGATGTGTGGCAGTGTCCCAGCTGAGGCAAACCTGGCCTGGTCCTGGGTGCCAAGTGACTTGGACCATCAAGAACCATTTGGTACCAGCGGCGCAGTTCCTTGTTGGCATCTGGATCCCTCCCCTTGGCTCTCCCGTGAGGACCTCTGCTCGTCCTTGCTTTTGCTGGCAGGTTGTCCCCTCCACAGCTGTGAGTGTGCTCTGGAGGTGCAGGAGGGGCCCCTGGGGTGGGACAGAGCTGCTGTCCCAGCTCAACCTGCGGCAGCAACATAGGGCTGCTCTGTTAGCAGATGGTTGGTACAGCCTTCTCTTTGCTTCAGGCTGTGTTACACCTTGCTGTATGTGGGTGAGCTCCTGCTGGGACTGCAGCAAGCACGGGAGGGTCTCCCATGGGATTCCTAGCAAAGTCCTTCTGCTCCCTTCACACCAAGAAGGTGGTGGGTTTCTGTACCCATCAGAGTGGGCTGACCCGAACAAGGGCTGAGCTGGCATCAGCTGGGGGACATCTGGAGTCTGAAGTTGCACTGCAAACACAACTCTTCTCCACCTTAATGCGTTATTGCTCAGGCTGTCAGAAGTATTGGGAGACAGGGAGGAGGAGGGCTGATTTGAAGTGTGCTTTGAGATCCTCACATGAAAGATGCCAAAGCAGCCTCATATATAGCGCCTGGGAAGCAGCACCGCAGTGAGCAGGTTTCTGTCTTGAATCTGTTTTGTCTTGGGCTTGAATTGCCCGCAGAGGCGCAGTTGATTATATGCAGCATATATATATATATTGGGCTGTTTCTGAAATGTGCAGTTCTGGACAGCATTGTATTTGAACCATCGAACTAGTCTACTGTGTCATAAGCTGTCATCCGATTCCTGGCAGATTTTGGATCAGGAGATGACAGGTGTCTGGGATCATCATAGGCAGTGCTGTGCCCTCACTCAGGCATATAAAGAGGCCTCTAGATGGACGTCTGTCCAACCCAGCACAGGACTGGTGATGTATGCGCTCTGCATGCGACTGGCTAATTCATCGCCTCACATTTGTTTAAATGCAGTACAGAAATGCTCTGGAGGGGGGGAGAGGGATTATTTCTGCATCGTCCCCTCCCGTGTGGTGTTGGCAGGAGACCCATGTGGAGCTGAGGGTGATGTGACTGATGCCTGCCACGCTGCGGCGTGGCTCCCGCTGCTCCCCGTGCACAGCATTGCTCCCAGCCCACCATGAGCCACAGGCAGGGAAGCACTTGGTGGCACTGGCTGGAGGGGGACGCTGGTCCAGTCTGAGCTGGCTCCCTGCTTGTGACACCCTCCGGGACAGCGAGGGGAACAGCCATCACGTACCGGGGAGATGATCGAGTCGTGGTGTCAGACCAGCACTGTTGAGAACGAGCTTCTTCCACTGATGGTGCTGATGAGCTGGGAGGGCACTGCCGTGCTTGGGGGCCTGGTGTCAGTTCCTGGCCCTGCTTCAGGCTTGCTCTGAGCGCAGGGAAAGCCCTTCCCTCTGTTCCTGAAGTCCTCACTTCTAGTGCTGGGAGGAGAGAAGCTGTAACTCCCACCTCTGCATGGTGTTGTCCATCCCTCGGGCCATTTGGACTTTGCTGCCATGGCAGCTTTCTCCAGGCACAGCAGGGTTTGTGGCTGGCTGGGACTGCATGGCAGAGATGCACTTGCAGCTCACCAGAGCTGGGCAGCTCCGCTTGGAGTGCGGCCTTGCTTGGAGAGCGGCTTGCGCTGCTCTCCCCCAAAGGGGGGACCCTCTCGACCCCACTTGAGCTGGGTGCCAGATTCCCAGCGTGGTGCTGGTGAGAGGACCCTTGGCTCATAGCCCAGGCCCTGCCCGCGAGGAGGGAGAAGTGCTGCACAAAGCAAACAAGGGGAGGTGACTCCACGTCGCCTCTCCAGCAACGCCGTTTTGGACTTGGCTGTGTCAGAAGTCCCCTGGATTTAGTTATGCTGAATGGATTGCAGAGCCGGGCAGGGTGACAGCCAGGAATGAGAGATGCTGGCTTAGTGCCCTTCCCACGGCCAGCGAGGGGGCTTGCGCAGTCTCCTGCTTCAACACTCGTGTGACAGGGGAGAGGCGAAGCAGTCGGGAGGCATGGGGGAGCTCTGATTTAGCGCCCGAAATAAATGCCTGCTGGCAGCTTGAGGCAGTTGGGATTTTTCACTGTCCTCCCTGAGCAAGGAGGTCCAGAAGCTGTCGTAGCACTGTCGCTGTGGTGGGCAGCAGCACAAATCCTGAGGGGGGCAGGGACAGATGAGCAGCCCAGGGCTCAGACCCTGGCCTTGACCTTGCTGCCCAGTGCTGCTGGGCCCCGAGCTGTGCTGGTGTCCGAACTCCCTGCAGAAATGAGGTGGCCATGGGGGGCTGGGAAGGCAGAGCAGCTCCCCTGCACCTCGCTGGGGAAGGAGCCACGGTTGTGAAGAGCCTCTGTCGCCACGGGTGCTCATCTCATGTGTGTGTGGTTGCTTTTAGGAACTCTTTGATATAAACCAACACCACTTAAACGTCATTGGAGTTGGCCATCCCTCCCTGGACAGGCTGTGCCGGGTGACGGCGTCCCACGGCCTGCACAGCAAGCTGACCGGGGCTGGCGGGGGCGGCTGTGGCATCACCCTGCTGAGACCAGGTCAGTAACCCTCTGCTCGCCCTGGGCATCCTTCCCCCGTTCCATGCGGCCCTGCCAGTGGGGTCAGGTTTGGAAGCAGAGGGATACGATGCTGACCCTCGTATGGCCGTGGTGCCATGTGAAGCTGTGTCACAAACGTGGGACGGCATCTAGCAGAGCTGCCTGGCAGGGTGGTTTGCAGTGTTTCATATGGGGGCGATTTGGCGCGTTCACTGATGTGTGTCAGATCTTCAGGGTGCTGGCCCCGTTCCAGGGGGCATGTGTTTAAACGTGTGATGGCCCGTTTCAGTCTCCCTGTAGTGGCCTCGCTGACTAACTGGCTGCTCTTGCCTTCCTCTTGGCAGACACCTCCCTGCTGGCCGTGGAAGCAGCCAAGCGAGACTTATGTGCCTGTGGATTTGAATGCTGGGAGACCAATATCGGGGCCCCCGGAGTGACCCTGCACCACTCCTCGTCTTTAAACAGCAAAGTGCTGCGCGCGCTCTCCGAGGGTTAAGCTTCTGCCTCTGGCAAGACTGAGCTCTTGGTGCCACATCCTCGGAGCGATAGCTGTGCGTGCCCTGATGCCTGGAAAATTCTCTCCCGCTCTCCTTTGTGGCTGTGGGCCTCTAGACATGGGTGCGGAGCCAATTTCGGGCCTGGTGTCACTGGGAGTAGGGGCTACGATGAGGATCTGGGAGCAACTGCTTGCACTTGGGCTAGGGTGTGAGTTTGACTCAGGCTCTCAAAATCCTGGTTTGAATTTACTTCTCAACTGCTGTGCTAATCCCAAGGGGCAGGAGGAGAGGGTCTTGGCTGGATTCCAGTGCGGATAATGACACTTTGCTTGGTTCTGCTGCTTCAGATGCATGTGGTATATCTTCCCTTCTCCCCTGGCGTCTGGCGAGGGCAGGCAGCGAGGCTGGCAAGGTGGATGTGCGGAGCGCTTTGACATTTTGGGGTGAAAAGCATCTTGGCAGCTATGGGCTTTGATGCTCAGGCCTCCATTTCTCCTGGACTGCAATTCACAGTGGAGAGGAAACCTTTAAATACAGCTCTTAGCTGCTACTAATTAAGAGCTGGATAATTAAAATGAAAGAAACAGCACATTTTTAATGGTATTATCTTTTTTTTCTCTTTCCCATCCTCTCTGCTTGGGCTGATAAGCAGGGTCTCGTAGCCAGGCTCTGGTTTCTCTTGACATGCAGGAGATCAGGTTCAAATAGGTCCTTGTCACCGCAAGGAGGGCGGCAGAAGGCAAAGGCAGTCGTAACACTGCTACGTGCAATGGCAGCTCTGGGATCTCTCACACTTCGGTCTTAAAAACGAGCATGTCCTTTGCCCCTGCCTGTTGTTGGCCGTGCGAAACCTGCCTCTGCCTGGGCAGGGTGGAGGGGATCAGCGACAGAGCAAACACAGATTCGGTTTTGTTCGTAGTAATTGGGTTTAAGTAGAGGGGGGGAAAAAAAGGAAACCACAAAAAACCGATACCCACCTCCTCAAAAGCTGACCATAACTTGCAATTGGCAAACTATAAAACCTAAATGCATTTAAAGTTATTGCACAAAGGTAAATGCAGTTCTTGCTTTTGAAACTTTAATGAGTTGTACCACAGGACTAGAGGGAATTGGTGGGTAAGTGTCTGAAGCCAGAGGATCTTGGAGTAATAAGCTGATGCAGTGGCTGTGGTCTCTTCTATACCTGCCAACGAGATTTTTACCATTATTCTGTTTGTCTGGGGGGTTTTTAAGCGTAGCTCTGTTCAAGAATTGCTTTGGTCAAAGCTGAGTAATAAATTGGTAGTGGTGGGGGAGCTTGCCTTCCTCTTCCAGTGCAGAACAACAAAAAAAAAAAATCAAGTGCAAGAAGTTGAGATGCACCAGCTCTAAAATCCAGGCGTCGTGATGACCAGCTTTAGTTCACTGATTGCCTGTAAAACTGTCTCGGGTTTTAATAAATTGGTGGGGTTTTATGTGCAAAGTGTTCTTTGATAATTACGCTGGATACAAAAGGGAAAGCGTACCTTACACTGCTTCAATAAAAACAGGTTTCAGATGCTGGGTTTCTACATGTCTAATTACAATTCCAATTTGCATCCAAGAGCGGCTTTACACTAATCACAAGTCAGAAAGCCTGATAAATAATTTACCATTTTCTAATACAGTGTAATCAATGTGAGTATCTGGGAGCATGTTGACTCTATAACCACTTAAATGTGTCTGTAGTTCCTCCTGCTTAGCACAAAGAGATGCCAAATCCAGCGCACAGAAACTTCGCTTCAAAACAACGTGTCTGGGGCTGATCCTCATTAGCTGCCTCCCTCGGAAGACGGCCTGGCAGCCACGGCACGAGTGCTGGAGGAGTACGGAGGCAAAGAACACAGTAAAAATTTTGATTTGCTGGTTTAAATCCTAATTAAAACTGGTGATTTAAACGGACCAACTCCTGGTACCGTCCTGCTGAGCTGCCCCTGCCCTTCGCTGGACGGTGGAGCACGGCGGGTGTGCTGTCTCCGCTTCGGTTTTCATCTCCTGGCCGTGGCAGGGCAGCAGCGGGAGGCCGGGGCTCTCCCCAGAACAGGCGCTGCAGGATCCTGCAACCCGGGACGCTTTTGCCTGCAAACTTCCAGCCTTCTCTTGCCGGCCTCCGCTTTGTTTGCGGGCATGATGGAGGCGCAGAAGTGACATCCACAAGGATGGTGGCCAAGCCTGGCGGCTGAGCTGTGAGTGACCTGAATCGTCGTGGTGGGGCGCGGTGTCGCGCCACGCTGGGCGGGTGCACGCTCCCCTTCCTGGGAAGGCTCCGGCCACCCCTGGAGGTTTCCTCCAGCCTCTCCTCCATCCTGCTCTACTCCCCGCCGGAGTGGAGGTGGGCGATGTTCCCAGGCTGGGTGAGGGTTTGTGGTGGCGCGTGGGCAGAGGTGGCCCTGGGCTGGGTCTGTGACACTTGGCTGCGGGCAGGGCCCAGGGCAGGGGTGGCAGGAGTGCGGCTGGGCAGGATGCTGCCCCTCCTAATGCCCGGGCTTTGCCGGAGCCCGGCTCTGCCTTCCCTGTGCCGCGGGGACCAGAACTGCCCGCGTCAGCAGCTGGAGCCTGTCCCGGTTTGTTAGAAGTAAGCACGGATTTCGCATCCATCTGCGAGCACAGGAGCGCCCGCTCCCTCCTTTCTGTGTTCTCCCTCCCTGGCTCCATCGGAGCCTTCGCAGGGGCCTCGCTACAACCGCCGTGATAACCAGGGGGCCTTTGGCACGTACCTGACCTCTTCCATGGGAATCACCTCTTTGGTTGTACCAACTCACAACCACCTCCCGCAATTCCTTGGGCTTCGCTCGCCTGCTTTGCAGTGGGGGTGTGGGGATGCGGGGGACCCCGGCCCCGTGCCTCAGGCAGCCCTGGGCCGCAGGAGCGGCCGCTCCCCCAGGACTCTGGTGCCCTGCGGGGGCATGGTAGGTGCAGAAGGAGGCACAGCCCTGTCTGTCTCTGCAGTTTGCTGCTTTGGGAGCACAACCGAAGCACAAATGAAGCCCAGCAAGCGTGTTCTCCCCACGGACTCATCCCCTTCTCTCCCCCGGCCACACCACAACCACGCGAGTGCTTTCCCGTCTGCGCTGCCCCGTCTGCTCTCTCCGGTCTCGTTTTACGGATGTGCAGTGGAGCAGCGATTGCTGCTGAAGGATTAGCCTGGTAATTTGGCTAATTTTTCTTGAGCTTCATTTTTCACATTATGAGCTTTGCAGAAAGACTAACGAGCCTGGGTTTGCCTCTAATAGCCAGCATGGGAGCGGGGAGGGGAAACTGCACTCCATCCTTTTGCAATAAAAAAATTAAATAAT